ATGAGGAACTGTCGAAGTTTATTGATTGCTACAATGAGGCAAGGCGAGACATTTGGGGACGTACAAAACTCTCTTGTGAGAGATGATTCCTTGGGTAAGGGGAGGCACTTTTGTGCCCTTTGAGAAATGCGAAAACCCAATACTTCCATGTAGTGGCTTAGAGGAGAACTTCAAACGGAACCATATAGGCCTATAGGGTTCCATATAGGCACTATAGCGAACCCTACAGCTCCTATAGGGAACCCTACGGGTCCAATACAGAACCCTTTGGGTGCTATAGGGAACCCTATAGGTTCTATATGGAACTCTATAGGTCCCAAACTGAACTCTAAGGGGCATATAGGATCCAATAGGATTCCTTTAGGTTCCTATAGTTTCCTATATATTCCTTTAGGAATGTATAGAAATCCTATAAGATATTTTCGTAAGGGGCATCATCCGCTTCCTCTTTTGGTTTTCAATGTCCTCCTCTGTATCATTTCCCCATGTGTCACTCATGACATTCCCGGAAGGTAGGGAACGAATAGCCTCATGAAGTATTCTGCACCAAGAAGCATAAAATGACACAATAAGGATCACAGAGATTTCACTAAATACCTCAGCAAGCTCATGAATGATACGAACACTGCAACACACATAACTTTGAAATGCCAAATAAAGGCAATGATAAAATTGAGCTGAAACCATACCATAAAAGGATTCTACACAAGCATCATAAAATCGCCATGCTGTAGAGGGCACCGATTGATTCCTGACAAGAGATGACATGTGCTTGTACTCCTTCTTTGGGAGGAATTGCATAGGTCATTACCCTTGAGCCAAGAAATGGGCACAACATCCGAGAAGGTTTCACTCAAAAAGTGCACAAGTGCAAAAGACATGGACACTGGATTCAGATATTACCTAACATTAAGAAAGAGATAGACCCACAGAAGTAAAACACATCCAAAAAATCATGGAAGAAACAAAACACTCTATGAAACAGACTCAACCCTTGTCCTAGGGGAGTGTGCTTGACATATGAAAATATTATGATTCTAGCATTGACAGCAACCATAGGCAGACTAACTAGCATTGGTGAGGATTAACACTTGACACAGAAAGATTATGAATATAAATGATGTGAAAATGAAGACCAGCCAAAAGGTTGTAAGACCTTCCATCAAGGATTGAAATGCAGATAAAGAATACATTGGAGCACTCTAACAAATGCATTTACCAAAAAACTACTTACCTATTATGTAGTACAATATATACCTATTTGCAAGGGCCAGACGAAATTAATATCAGAAGAATATTGATATGAGAAGGATGGGAAGGTCACAAGCAGACACAACAATCCACTTCTTTTTCATGGAAATCAGCAAGGCTGAGTATTAAATGGGCTAATCTTGGAAAATATGTTTTGGTATTGCTTTGTTAAAAATTCTGCAGCAACAGACTAGTATTATGCAGTGAGGGACGAAAAAAACTAGCAACTCTCTAAATGAATAAGACCTGGAATAGTGATCAATCCTGAGTAAAGGAGTGGTGAAAACGGGATACCCAGAGGGTCCCTGGGGACTTTGGGAGAATAACAAGCTTTTCAAGGATTTCCTCCATAGTCCTTGTGTAAAGCACCTGGCTCAGATGCATGACACTGCATATTCCTATGGCAGACGACTGAATGGGAGATGTGAAGCTATCATTATCATAAATTTTTTTCCAATAAATAAATCATTGCTAGCATGCTTCTCAGACTTCTCTAGCAAGACAATCTCATGTTTCCTTGTCATGAAGCAAGAATTTCAAAGAGAAATGCCAGGTTTGGATGAGGGGATTACCATTTGTTGTCTTCAAGAATGGTGTACAACCCCTTCAGAGGAAATCTGAGGGTGAGCTTCATCGAAACACCTTTTCTCCAGAATTCTCTTTTCCACCTGGGAGAGAGGGCGGTGCCTGCCTGTAACCATCCGTTTCAACTTCTGCATGTAGTTCTCAAATGGGAAGGCTGAAAAACAACATAGGCTCACGGACACATTGTCCTAGATGAAGTAGTAAGTGCACGTTCAGTACAACCATACCCTTTCCACACACATCCTCAGCACCAACAACAAATTTGTATAAGTAATCCTCTGCAATTTCAATCATGATTCCCTTAGAATAAGGACGACAAAGCAACATGAAGGCCACACTCAGGTGCATGAAGTTTTTGCAGGCATCCTCTTCCAAGACGCCCTTCAAAAACCATTGGCCCATAGTAGAGAAGAAACTATCGGAATTCAGAAGCCTTCCAATGTTTCAAATTGCTGACATCAGACAGCTTCCTTTTAAATTCAACAGTAGCACCATGTGTGTGACATTCATGAATTCTGGCAGTAATCATGTCCTTAGCTGCAGAGCTCAATCGATATGTGGCTCGAGGTCCATCATTCCAGGTAAAGAGCAACCTCCTCATTACCCCAAGCAACCCACAATGCATATAGTCAACAGGAAAAATAATAATGAGGTAAACAGGAAGGGCAAGGAGAGGGGAAATTCAAATGTGATGGCCTTCATCTTGTCTATTCCGGAATGAGGTGTCAGTACGAACCTCCCGTGGTCCTCCACAATGTCATTCTTTGTCCATCATGCTTGCCTTTGATTACGCACTTCTCACAAGCTGATCTCCCCTTGTGTCCCTTTTTCTGACATATGTAATTCTTTGCTGGTAAGTCACATATTGCAGCTGCAAGTTTCACTTTCAAGGCAAAATAAGAAACCTTAAAGAACATTCGCAAAATTGTACTATCATTCATCCTGCTCAGCCATCAAAGGATGTCTTTGTGAAATTTATTTTCTTGAACTCATAAACTGCAAATGAAAAATGGTTATGTTCGTGCATCTGGAATCACCAAAGAAACCTATTTCAAGCAGTTTAAGGTGGTGATTCATATATTTACTTCAGGAAGTCCAAATTTGACCTATGTAACCGCTTTAAATTTCCTTAAAAAACCTCTTAGAACATCAATAATGTGATGTACTTTGATAGTTGCCTGATCACTAGCAATCCACTTTGCAAAGATTCTGTAGCTCCTCAATCACAGGGAGGAGGAAGTTGAGGTCAGGTTTCCCTATTTCATAGAAAAGAGAAACAGCAAATATCCTTCCACCATTGACTCGCCCAAGAATAGGCCAAAACTCATATGAGTCATTCCATATCTGGAGTCCATCCACATGAAGTTGAATGTTCACTGATGAAGGCATTGAGTTCCTCAAAAGAAATGTATTGGGTTCATGCAGAAGTCCAAAGTGACGAGAATGGCCACTTCCAAGTTTGGTAATGGAAGTTGTAATGGAGTTTTCATCACAGGTCTAGGATCCAAAGGAAGTGATAATCCTTCTTCTCTCAATACCTATGAAGATTTTGAGTTGCATGGGGATCACATATTTCCCTAAATCAAACCAATAAGTAGGCCTAAACCTTCCTACCTTTATGAGATCTCCAAGGGCTGCCTCAGTCACACCATGCTCCTGTCTCCACAATGCCAGTTTCTCCAAAAGGGACAACTTTCTTTGTTCCTCTAGTTAGGTGTCCTCCACAAAGAACTTTTCAGCATATATCCACAATCAATACCACTTTTGCTTAAATTATTATTGGGCTTGGCCTACTATGAAGAGCATAAAAGACTGCATTGAAATACGCTACACCCCTGGATTGGAGCGAAGCACTCAGGATCATAAACCTACCCCAAAAGTTCCAGTCCCATTTGTATTTGCTGTGCGCCTGGGCTCATTCTCAGGATGCTGAATTTCTATTGCTGAATTTACCTTCTGGGGGAAACAAAACACAAGGGGATGCATGAGGAAACAGTGAACACTTGCATCAGCTCATTTTCAAGAATGTTCTGCCAACTTCCGTTCATACATGGGTTTACCAATATGCTCGTATGTCTGGAATCAAGAGGCCCCTTAGCAGGCATGTCTTCATCTTTATGCTTATTTTTTTATTGTTTCTTTGGCAAAGGTCCCATATCAAAGGTTTTTAAGACATTGCTTCAAAAGGATATCTGCAGTATGGTAAGAGGGTAGTCATGAGATATGTATGCAATAATACCACTTTTACCTCAGGTGAGCTAAGGATAAGTTGAATCTGAACAGTTCCAGATATTGTCTGTGAAACAGGTGCAAGGCAACGTTGAGTGCGAATGAGCAGTGTGATGGGTGGTGTGAATGAGAATAAGTCTTTGCTTTTACACAATAAAATCAAGCCTCCAAAATTTTGACTTCAAAGGGATTCCAATTTACAATTGAACACCTACACTCTTGACACCTGTTTAAATGACAGGTGATCGGGCTTATCTGAAGAGATATTTGTGAAATGTCCACGAAGAAGTTACCTAGAACCTCCCTTAACCTACTGAAATGAAAGATTGGGCATTCCAGTGACCACATTTACTGCAATTGCAGGTTAGGTTGTGACATTTTAGAACGATTTTTAAAATTTTAATGTGGAAGTGCTGATTCTTGCATGTTATTTACTGGGAATAAGAAAATTCCGTGAGATGAACAGAAACAAACTGCCGGGAACCTCTATACCAGTTTTAGAGGGTTAGGATTCATTTCAAATCCGGTGATATATGGTGCCCCAGTAGACCCGGCAGATAGGCGATATCAGTATCGTGTGCAACGATATAACTTATCAGTACGAGCAGTGGAGCAGCCGTTTCAATATGTCCTATCATTGGTTTCTAGTATTCTTCATTGTCCCTGTCGTTACATCCATTTCCCAGGTTTGTCCTACTAACCTATCGTCTCCCTTGTCAGCTTGAAAGCTTCCTCTGTCGAAAGTCAAGAGTAAGCGTGAGGGGGGTCATTTGTCCTAGGGGGAAGAAAATCTTGAGTTCTGTACTCATTCCGGAGAACCCGGTTACTGTGCAGCGGAAGATGCGTGCATTCAGGAAATTCTCAGCTCAGAATTGTCTTCAAGACGCCAAGCTTGTTTGCATGTCATAAACAGGTCTCTTCTCTCTTCTGTATTAATAGAACTGTATGACGAGAGTAATGCATATGTCAGTTTCTTGTGTTTCGATGGAGAGTAGGGCGTCCAATCAGGGGGAACATCGATCATCCAGGCCGGATCATAGGAGGGGAAGACACAAAACCAGGGGATTATCCCTGGATGGCAGCTCTTCTCAGCGAGTCAAACACTACGAGACCTTTCTGCGGCGGGTCCCTCATATCCCCACGTCACGTTCTCACTGCTGGCCACTGCGTTCATCAAAAGTGTGTCATCCATTACCATCGTATGCGGTATATGTCAAAATCATGACTAAGTTGTTCTCCCTTTCTTCACAGAGGAGTTCAACTAAAAACGAGTTCTTTTCTGGTCCGGATCGGAGAGCACAACTTTGAGTCTATTTCAGAGACAGAACATCAAGATTTTTCTATCAAACAAATCCACATTCATCCCAATTACGAGGAATTAAACAGGGACATCCATAATGACCTGGCAATCATCGAACTAGTACGAGGCCAAACCAAAGGCTGTCTGCCTTCCCAACGAACCAGGGAATCTCGAGGGTAGCAGCGCCTATGTCATTGGTCAGAAATTATATATATTCATGTTGTGATTATTTCAGGTGGTTAGTCTATAATGAAACGATGGTATATACCAGGGGTGATCAAACTGCGGCTACCTGGCAGTTCAAATGTAGCTCTCGGTGAAATGCTGATTGTAGAGCTATGGTGACTCATGCGTTCCTAAGGAAATATATTTTAGCACACGCCAATAATAATGAACTCGTCATCAAAGCCTGCTGAAATTTTGACCCCAGCACTAGATCACAATAAATTTTCTTCAAACTCGAGGCAATCACGAAATTCGTCTTTGTGTGGACACTAGCAACGTTCAGTTTGAGGTTCCACTAAATCCAATATATTATCTATTATTATCCAATATATTATTATATATTATCTAACGATCAAACTTGAGCATTGGAATGATTTCAAGATAACAAGCCTCTCCCTGTGGGTTGTGAAAGCTTTGTACATGAAATGCACTTGCAAATGCAAATGCACTACAAAGGAGAAATTTATTTTGACGTGAAATATGGAAATAATTTCGTGTTTCTCTATAAGAATTGGTTTTCAATTTTACGGAGGTTGGTTACAAAAGTAAAGGACCAATTGGAGGTAGATTTCTCATGTCTGATTACATAAGCATGTTTATGTTAATGTTAATATGTTTATGTCTGAGCATGTTTGTTAATTTTACGTAAAATAAATGTACATTTTTTGTCCATTTTATATCATTTTTACGCAAATCATTGTCAAGATAATGTCAACATGTTTGCAGAAATGTCACCTCTTTGATACGTAAACGGTGATATAAAATTAACGTAAGTTTTACGTAAAATTGACAGTGCTGTTTGCATTCCAAACAGCACGTTTAAATTATTTTTACGAAATATTCATATCAATTTTCCCCTGGCATTCATGCGTATTTAGAGTCAATCAGTACCATTGTAGAGAATCTATACACTGAATCTCCTATTCCTTTACGTTCTACAGAACTCTAGGGTCGTTGGACGAGTACATGAGGACTCATCCTCACCAGCATTCAAGAGTACCAAAGTGACCTACTGCTTCTTCCTCCCGTACCAGAACCTCGGGAGGATTAATAGATGTTCAAAGGAGCTCTCTTCCTTTTAGGATAAAGAAGATGTAGTAATTGTGGGGCTGGGATTCTACTCTTCTCTACTCCCATGCACTGATGTAATAAAAAGCTTAACTTCAGCATTTATTGATGCCCTGAGTCATATATTATTAAAAATATATATATAATACTGTTACGGTTCCGTGCGTTCTCTTCTACCGGTGGTGGGAATCACAACACAATAGGTCAGGGCTGATACAAAGCAGGTTTTATTGGAAAAT